ATTCCTGTGAACTTGGCTCACATGTTTAGTGACACGTTCTTTTAGCATCCTAGCTAGTCGGTTGTTTGGATCATCACACAGCCCCAGCCCTGTTCAATGCGTGGTATATCATTCCTTTGAGCTTAGCTTTCCCAAAACAAAAACAAAAACAAAAACACAAAAAAAGTTCCACTATAGCATTTGAAATCAGAGTAATTTGGAAGGCATGGTTTAACATTGGACAAATAGCAGTGGCTGAAGTCAAGAGAGGGGGGAAGAATGTCTTCAGTTGAAGACATGAAAATAAATTTATTTTAAATGCATCCGGATCTAGTGTACAACTTGGAGACCACTCCCTTGTTCTTCCTTTGTTAGTTCTACTGGAAATATTGATTTGTTATTTACACAGAGGGGGGAAACGAGGATGATTTTTTTGTTTGTTTGTTTCACTGTGGATAAATTGTTTTGAAATAAAAAATTTTTAATCAAATGCTGTAGCAGAAGAGAAGCCCATCAGACTCTGAAATGCTATGCTTCTCATTAGCAACAGTCCCTGGTTTTCATTTCCATACTGCCATTTTGGGTTCATACACAATAATAGAATCTGACACATTTATGGGGAAAGTTTGTATATACATATACACCATCTTTTAGGACAGGGGAGGGATGATGGGGATGCAATAACTTTGAAACTATTTTATCAGGAGTAAACCCATCATAATGGGTGATTTAAACCTCCCACTTGATAAGAGTTCAGGAAGAAACACAATGTCAAACCAGTGGCTTTCAGGGACTGTTTGCAGCTGTTATTGTTGGCTGTTCTGGAGACCATGCATTGTTCTAAAACTTCATATTGTTAGCATGCAGGAACAGGCTGAAACTGGTAACCCAAGCAGCAAAAAACCATTTGCTATAAGAAGATTAACTGTTAATTATAAGCAGTCACATTCCAAAGCAGCATATGCATAAAAAAGAAAACATGCTATTACTTGTCATTCCTTCCCAGACATTTTTACACTCACACCAAATGCAAAATAGAAATCTCAACAGACAGACAAGTACCACCACAAAAAAAATCAGCAAGAGTGATCAGTTAGAGGCTCAAAGACAAGACAGAAACAGTTAAAAACGATTGAGCCCCACACATTGACAAACCTTCGTGAATCCCAATGTCTAGACCAAGGGGCCACCAACTGGAAGGGTGGCTCTTTTTTTTGCTACTTCTGGAACCATCTGCGTGCATTGACTCCCTGTCAGGTGTCTCCACCTACGTACTTCTGGGTCCCCTTTCTTAAAAGCTAAGTCAGATCCCGACCTCCCGTCTGGTGCAGCGACCCCTCAGGCTTGGAGGACGCACACACCAGCCAGGAAGAGACTTCCTCTGGGCCATTATACAAATCACGAACAAGATCTTTAAAAGCTGACGAGCATTTACCTCCCTGGTGGTAGATGTTCCAGAAGATGTGGATGCTCTGTGTGTAAAATTTTGCTCTCAAGTTGTAAAATAATATGGTATCTAAATTAAGTGGCGGACCTTCTAATTTGGAAATTATAACACCTCATCTCCCTCAACTCTCTCTTCCTTCAGTTTTGTTTTGGTGAATCATGGATAATCAGAAACACTGGTATTTTATTTCATTTCTCAGTGATCTTTTTTTTTTTTTTTCTTTTCTAGACCTGATTTAGGTTAGAAGGTTAATTTCAGGTATCAGAGTTCCACTTAAAACTCCCAAGGTTAGGTCTCATAGAGCAACTTTGAAAGTTTCAGTATTTATTTAAAACAAAAGTAAGTTTCTTATCAACTCTCTAGCCTCACAAAGTGTTTGCTCTCCTTTGGTGTTTGCTGGTTTTCTTTCTTACCTGTCTCCCATTGCTAACTTCCCCAATCCCAATCCTAGGAAAAGGTTTTCTCCTGGAGGTCAATGGTAATGCAAAGTAAGTCTATGAGGACATCTAGTGGACTGGTGCGGAAGAGCAGCTAGTTAACAGCGACCTGAACTAGTGGGTCTTTTGAGAGGAGCCCAGAGGGCCCTGCTGTCTCTAAGAACTGAAATGGGTGCAGTGTCATTTCAATTCAATGGCTTCTCACAATCCACAGCAGATGTTTAGGGGCAGAAGGAAGGAAGGGGTGTGAGGTCCTAGGACTCAGTCAAGGTGGTCAGACCCCTCAGTCAAGGGTCAAAGGTGGCAACTTGCAAGCACCTGGGTTCTGCAGCCACTGGGTCTCCTCAAAGCCCTGCTGCAGCTTCCTGAGACTGAAAACAGACAAGAGTGTGTCTCTGGCAGGTGTGAACACTGGGGCTACTTGTCATTCCGTCTTAGAGCTCTTGGAACTTTACGCTCAATTAATTGCCCCCATAGGGCCTACTTAACTCTGGGAAAGCAGAAATATAAGGCTCTGGGGACTCAGTTTTCTCTTTGGCCCACATCAGAAGGTTCTTGTTCTTGGACCAGTGCCACAGATTCAAAGAGGTTATGTGGTTGCCAAGAATTAGAGCCCAAGTCTCACCTTCCTCCAAAGAACTCATCCTCGCAGTTTTGATAAAAAAGCTTTTATGTGCTTCTCTTCCCCACAATGAAGTGGATATTCATCCAATATTTCCATTATGACTTCCTAGTACTATTTATAGAGACAAAATAAAAGCATTTCCTTAATGGACATCATCAAAGCTATCTGTTTAGTTTTCAGAGTTTAAAATGAAAAGATTTCTCAGACAGGCTCTTGGACAACTTTCCCTCTATTTTCAAAGGTTGAGATCATGGGAAGGAAACCTGTAGGAAGGTGGCTGTTGCTGATGTAGCTTTAGTGACTGCTCTTTCCTTGAGTCATCCCGACAATCAACTGTCACACTCAGGCTCTCTGCAGGTCAGCCCTTCCGAGCCAAGGCTGGAATGGAAGGGAGAGCTGGATTCCAGCCTATCCTCAGCACCATCTGCCTCCTGCATCAGCAACCAAATTGTCAGCCAATTTCCAATGGCAGAATCTTAATTTCCAGAGTGGACCGAAAGAGGCAGGAAAAGCAGTGCTGGAATGAGAGGCCCAGGTGGAGTTTTCCAACTGCTGGGGGGAAAACAATTTAGGTTTCAAATGGAGCAAATTCAAGGGAAGGCTGGTGTAGAAGGAAAAAAAAAATCTACCATTCAATTAAGACCCACTTTTCAGACCACAACCTCACTTTAAATATCAGTCCAATGAAGGGAGGAGCATTTTCAAGCGTGAACCCGGAAGCTGCTCTTCATGTGCTCGGTAGGAACTAAAATTATAAATAAAAATATCCAGGTAGTAAGAAAATGTCCACCAATGCTTAAGGTTGAGGCCTCTGTTTGATGTGGCACTGGGAATCAGAGGACATTCTTTCATGTCCTATAAATGGGGAACAACGTCTTCACTTAGCCCAATTCCTACCATTACCTTCTGGAGGAAGAAGAAAGGCCTTCCAGGGGGTTTTTCAAGAACAGAAAGAGGGAAAAGAAAAAGCTAGTTAACGTCAGCAGCACAGAGCACACTGACCTAGCTGATTCTGCCCTCAACAGCCACGGTGGCTGGAGAAGGCAGAAGAATTTGGCACTACAGTTGTGTGTTGATTGACATCACATTTTCCCTCTGATTCTGAAACAGCATCAGATACGGGGAAGCTCTGCAGGTATGAAGTAGCTCATGCCCTCAAGCCATCCTTAAAAGCATTTTGCAAACGAAGGGAGCTGCAAAGTCAATTTTGTCAAAACTGTGCATGGAGTTGAAGAAGTTCATCGTTTTGTTTTTACATTGAGCATTCTATACCTTCCAAATAGTAAAGACTAGCCACAGTCAGATAATCAACTTGCCTCTTCTGCAGGAAAGGAATATGAGAGGACTAAATGCAGAAACATCTTCTCCAAATTCCAGAGCCATTGTCCTGAACTGGTCTACAGGCTGGATCTCACTTTCAGTGGAGTCTTATGTACATGAGTAAAAACCTGATGCTCCTTGCTGGTGCAACTGAGAGCAACATTGCTCTAAGTCACACACTAAAATACTGGCCTTAAAGCTCCTGCTCAATTGCCACATCTTGTTGGGTGAGAGAGGATCCTGCTTGTTGACTAAGTTAGAGGTTCAGAGACTTACACTGACTTGTTCAGACTTCTACATAGCTCCTTATGAAATGGAACACTCTTCTTGGGTCATCTGTTCTGCTTTAAACAAATAAATGGATCTTCCAAAATGTCTAACAAACACTCATAAAGGAACTGGGTATGTCCTACTGGGTATTGACTAAAAGAGAAGTTTTATTTTAAAGCAAGGGAACTTCATAGACTGTAGAAAATAATTACCACTGTGGAAATACTTGTCTCCGGTAAGGCAGTTTAGATGCTTACAGTCCCAAAGTTGGGTATTCAATTAATTCTCTAGCAAACACTTTCTCATACAGAGAGGCACGTATACTGTAATAAATGCATCACTCTTCTATGGAATATCTCTATGCTTATATATAAAAATATACATTTTTACATATAAAGTCCTGGTATATATCATATATATATATATCACATCACAGGAATATATATATAGCGTATGTGTTTCCTTCTGGAGATGACTGGAAGCTCAGGAGGAGAGGAGAACAAGTATACCTCATCAAAGGCAAGCATGACAATGACTCCCCGTTGATGAGGCATCTGGAGCTATAGTGGTAATTATCTTAGCCTAATCCGTGTCCCTTAAAAGTCCTAAAACAGGGCCTTCAAGAGAAACACACTGTTGTCAAGGTCTTATTTTCAAATGGAAAAATAAGACAGAAGCTGGCCAGAGGCTGGGGGGCTGGGTTGGATGGACGGAGGGTGGGCTCCTGGGAACTCTCCAGCTCTGGGCTGCTCTGCAGACCAGGTTGGGGGATGAGGGGGTTGGGGTGTGATGTCACTGCTACATGCAACATAAATACCAAAAGTAAAAAAGAAACTGAAACTGCACAGAAAATAAAAGTATCTCTTCTAGAGAAAGAAAGGGGAAACTGGACTCCGGGCTGCTGGGAACCCGTTTTACTCACAATATATCACTACCAGTGTGCAGTAAAAATAGAGTAGGGGCCGTATTCCAAGGCAGCAAAGAGAAAAAAATAAATCAAAGATATGTCAATGATTAGAAGTTAAAGAAAATTCCTTCAAACACATCAATCTAGACATGACTTGTCCCCTAGGAGTCCACCCTTTGGCAAACTTTTAGATGCTAGGAAAAAAAATTGTACATCATTAGACCAGGTTTGTTATATAGAAAAAGAAAATGGGTAAATATTAGACTCTGAGAGCTTGCTCCTTGGCCAGACAGCTGAATTGGACTTTCTTCCTTGATGGAGAGCTATGAAGAAATGGGAAGAAATGCAGAAGTTAAACTATACTACCACAGGATTTCCAGAAATGGAACGTCCACACTCAGTGTGGCTCTGGATAACACGACATGACACACTGAAGGTTGCTGAACAAAAGTGAACGGGGAGGTGGGAGTGGGGGAGGAGGGGAAGAGCTGGGCTGGGGAGGAGGTTTAGGAAGCTGTGGAGAAAGGCCAGTTACTGCCATCAGCTCTGCGCTCATGGAGATGGATCCACCCAGGGCGAATCATTAATACCTGGACTAACAGGTTTGGATGAATGACTGTGTGGGTCAGCGACCCTCTCCAACTTAGACAGGATACTGGCAATGGCCGTCCAAAGCCATGGGAAGCCCCCCAGTGCATTATTGACAATTCTAACTCCGGTACAGCCAAAACGTCTCTTCTCCCGTTTCTTCACTTGCCTGGCCTGCATGGGAAGGTTTATGTTGAATAATTCATTTTATTCTAATGAGCCCCTCACCCCGAACACACACATCCGCATTCTGCCCTCTGTGCTATGGCCTTTTAATTAGGAAGAACAATATTTGGACAATTCCTGATCGTTATCAAATAGTAACCTCCTAGCCGAGGGTCTTTCTGAGATGAGGTGCCCAAGGCGGTGGGGAGGGGCGGGACATGCAGAGAGAGGGGCGTGAGCCCCTGTCACCCTGGCATGGCTTGGTGGAGGCAGTCCTTTTGCAGCAATCTGTGCCATGCGTGAGGGGAGATCACACACGTCACTAGCTCAACCAACTTTAAGGGAAAGGAGAGAATACAATTATTTCAAACAAGCATGAGCCTCCCTCTCCAGGATGAAGCTAAAGTCCCCTGATGTTTGCTTGCCTGGAACCAAGATGGAAAAATACCTTAGAGGCAAAATGCTTATTTCTAGGAACTTTAAAAACTGTCTTTTATGTTTCACGATGGTGTCCTATGAGGGACACTGCAGTATGACAGCGAGAGTCAGCGACGTGCTCTCGTCTTTCCTCTCCACTCTTGCTGCCCGAGTCTGTTCTCTACCCACTCATGAGGGACAGCTTTTTACACTAAGACTTGATAATGCGATTCCTTGCTTAAAATCTTCCAGTGGCTTCCTAGTATAGGACTAAGGCCCACGGCTCTTGCCACGGGCCTGCCTTCCTCTCTGACTTCATCTCGTGCTGCTCTGTCCCCAGAGCCGTCAGCCCCCCTGGCCTTCCTTCCGTCCTCAAGCGCTTCAGACCGATTCCTGACTCTCGGCTTCCACCTTCACTCTTGTCCCTGCCTGAATCGGGTCTTGGCTTCAAGGTGGCCTTCCCACGGAAGCCTTCCTGACCTTCCAAGCTATAAAGCAGCATCCCTACAAAATTCCTCACACCCTCAGGGAATCTCTTCTCTCTTCTTAGCACTGGATTCACTCTAAACTTATTTAATTGTTTATAGGCTCGTGATTCGTCTCCTTTCGCTAGCGTAGGGGTTTCAGGAAGGTCCCTACCTCGTTCCCCACTCCATCCTTTGCACCGAGAGTGGCACCTTGCACAGAGAAGGTACTCACAAGTATGGGAACAGCTAATCAATAAGTGAGTCACAGTCCTGCCATTTCATTGATACCCCAGTGGGATGAGGCTCTGGCAAATAACCTGTCACGGATTATTGTCCTCAACAATCTCCTGCCTTTCCCAACCCCCTTACTACGAGAGTTCCTTTGCCAAGGAGCTCACCCTCTTGTATCTGCTACTCTCTTTTGTTTACCTCTACCCTCAAAACATTGTGCCCCTTCTGCTGGGAATGAGCCAGGCGATGCCTGGTCAGCTGAGCGTGCATCTGTGTTCACAACCAACCGAGCAGGACTGGGGCTGACCGGCTGGTGAGAAGGGCCTTTTGAGTCATGGAGTCTGAGGGGACTGCAGGGGACTGAGGTTTGTCATGTGCCTTATACTTTCTTAGATGTTCTTCCTGATAGGTTGTCAGAATTGGGAAATTCATAGGTCCCGGGAAGTTAGAGGTTCTTGTTCTTAGATACCAATAAACTCATCTTGGTAAGGCGACAGAGTTCGGGGAAGGGGGACCCTGTGTATTAAGTCAGTGGAGAAGGACAGTGAAACAGTGGGTTTTGCCCCAAACTTGGGAACCAGCCTTAGGAATTTCTACAGAAACGTCTCTAGTCCAAGATTATGCCCCATAGGTATTTGCCCCAGCGACTGGACAGTGTCTCTGTGCTCCAGCAGTGTGACATTCAAATCACAATGGTTTTACAGTTACTGTGCCCCTGTTTAGGAGTACAGTGAAAAGGGTCCTGGCTTCAGTTGGTATATCCCAGGAATTATACTCTTCCATCTAGTTTCTGCTGGTGAAAAAGCATTTCATGGGGCGATCTTTCATAACTGCTCTTACTCATCAGACCCGAGATGAGGCACCTTGCCCTCCCCTCCTGCAAAAACAATTAGGGCACTCAGAGAACAGCATCAAGAGAGGCTTCAGGTGAGCCTGAATCCCTGTATGTTTAGTGGCTGTGTGAAAGTCAACAATCTCATCCTCTCACTAAACTTGGAAGCTTGGTTTCCTCTTTTTTGTAAAATGAGAGTAATAACACCCCTTGCCAATCACACAGGGTTATGGTGAGGATCAAAGCAATGTTCACAGGAGCTTTTAAAACAGTAACTCACCATAGGAAGGAAGGCGTTACTATTTGGGGGTTCTTTAAGGTTGAGAACAATTTCTACTAGGTAATGCAGCATGTTACTGAAGAAAGGCTACTTTAAGTCATGGTATGTGAGGAGCTCACAATCTAACGTTCCTGACTCACCATATCCTTCTCAAAAGGCTCCATCAGCAAGTTGCTTTGGAAGGGGTGTGAGCCAGAATATGCCAGAAGCTACTGAGCCCAATCTCCCCCAAAGAGCAATGGTGCTTGAGGTTGGACTTTGGGGACAATGGCGATTGAAACCCACTAACAATGGCAAAATTCTTTTCTTGGGGCAGTCCAAGAGCACCACAATTGAAAACTCTGACCTTTGGTGCTAAAACCTGCAGGAATCCCAAATGGGAAGAAAGCTGTCTCCCATCTGGGAGACTGAGTACTTCGACTAAGTTTCCCTCTCAGTCCTATGGCTGTCTTTTCAGTTGGTGACCCCGGCCACTGGAAATCACCATGCAAAAACACTCTCTCCTCTATGGCCTTAAACGTCCTCCTTTTTATACAACACACTTGACCTTGTTAGACTGGACACACCTACCTAAGCACCGCTTTAGAGTCAAGAAGTGAGGATTAAGTACTAGGTTCCCTCCTAAGTGTTGACGCTGGTGATTTTCCATCCTCTGCTCTAACAGAGCGAGGACAGATATTTATTTCATGTCTCTTTAAAATGCTGGGTGAAACATAAACATATTCAAGAAAACTCTTGATGCTTAGTGTTTCTCTGTTAGGAAAAGGAGAAGGAAAACAAATTAGGGGAATAGGAAGGAGCAAGAGGGACGGGGGCAAAAAACACTACTTACGCCGTTTGCAGCCGCATTTTTTTATTCTTTTGGGATCTGTGATGTCATCATGACAGGCTTTGCAGTAAAAAAATGCCCTGGAGAAAGAGAATGGAAAAACTGACACGTTTCATAATCCACCCAAATGAAATGAGTACCACATTTCCTCCGCGGTGGTGCCAAATTAATGAAACATGCCAGCACTAATTTCCTTTAATCTTCCGAAAGGTTTAGACGTTTGCAGACGGAAATGTTTGTTGCAAGACCGTTTATTTCAAACACAGGATTCTGTGATTTGACTTAGTGCTTCTTTTCATAAACTTCCATTTGAAAAGAAACTGGGAGAAAGGTTGCTGATGTGACATCCCGCCTCTGCCTGCTGATCTTTCATTTTGGAGAACAGCACTCAGTGCTGCTCGTCAAAACACATGGGCAATCAGCCCTGGGCCCTTGGTGGGGAAGTTAAAGGCAACGCTTAAATCCCCACAGTCTGCTCAAATATATATTAAAGGGGGCACAAGTATGACATTTCTCGGCCAAATAAAAACATTAACCCTGCCACTTTGAAAGCATATTTTCTTGCCAAAGTGAGAGGGGTTTGAGAGAAGGGTGGAGGGGCGAAAACAAAAGCAGTGAGGCTGCAGTTCTTCTGTCAAACTCCCTCTGGGATTTCATAGCTCATTTCACTCCCAACCTAGCTGGCCAACTCCCATACTCTCCAGTGCTGAGAATGTGTAATAAATGAAGGTTTTCTTCTCACGATGGAGCAAAGCCCAGGTGACCACTGGAATGGGGTGAGCAGAGGCTGTTGAAGGGATTGGTAAAAGAAGCAATCAACAAGAAAATCCCCTAATCTGACTCAAGCATCAACATGTGATTACAAAGTGCATTGGCTGTGTCTGAGATATTCTGGACAAGAGAAATAGGATCTTTTGAGCACTATTTAGTATCACAGTGCCTACAAGAACAGCACGAGAGACCTGTGCCTTTTCAGTACTGGGGAGGTGGTGAAATTCACTGGAACAACCTTATAGCCCTCTGGATCCAGGAACTCACCAAATCTTTGGCTTAGCGCCTTCACCACTCCCAACATGAGACTGAATGCCAGGGGTACACATGGTCTTTCCTTGACCAGGGCTAAAGAAATAAACCCAATTCTCGACCATTTGGTTCTTAGGTTCCTTTTTATGTTTTTCACAGGACTTACACTTATGAGTGGCACCCGTTGGAAACCAGTGTTAATAAGACTTTTGGATCTGGAGATTTTGCAGCCAAAATCTCTGGGACTCAGTGTCCTCATCTATAAATTGAGGAGGTTGTCATGACCTGCCCAAAGTCAACCCTGCTGGAGGCTGCCAACTCCCAGGGCTTCTAAATCCAAATCCGATGCTCTTTCTGTCTTAGAAACTCTTACATTATTTCCTTAAGTATCAACTGTCATCCATGTTGCAAAAAAAGAAAAGGTGGCTGACTATTTTCTTTGTGTGGTGATGTGGTTAAGAACCCAGTCAAGGGTAAGGCACCCTGAACTGGGAAGGAGGGGAAAAGAGAAAGCACCCGGGTTGAGGAAAGTAACTTTGCATGTACTTCCTCTGGCCAGTTTCTCTGCCCTGTGATGCTCCTAGTGTTATTAGGTAATGACACTAATGTCAACAACAATTGTAGCTGACATTTATAGAGCACAGACTATAGTCCAGGGGCTTTTCTAAGCATTTTACAAGCATTAATATATTTGATCCTCAAACAACCCTTTGAAGAAGTTAAGATTATTATCCCTGTTTTACAGATAAGGAAACTGAAGCACAGAGAGGTTAAGTGCCCTGCCCGACGCCACACAGCTGACAGTGGCAGAGCCAGGATTCAGTCCGGCATCAGAACCCAAGGTATCATACACACCTGTACTAAAGAGATGATAACAGGCCTGAGTAGACAACTGAAAAGATGAAGTGTGGTTACCTCATAAATTAAAGCTGGATTCTTTTTTAAATTTAACTTAAAATTTTTAATTAACAAATAAAATTGTATATATTTGTGAAATGTTTTGATGTATGCATTGTGGAGTGGATAAATTAACATACACATCACCTTACATACTTATCGTTTTTGTGGTGAGAACTCTTAANCTTAGATACCAATAAACTCATCTTGGTAAGGCGACAGAGTTCGGGGAAGGGGGACCCTGTGTATTAAGTCAGTGGAGAAGGACAGTGAAACAGTGGGTTTTGCCCCAAACTTGGGAACCAGCCTTAGGAATTTCTACAGAAACGTCTCTAGTCCAAGATTATGCCCCATAGGTATTTGCCCCAGCGACTGGACAGTGTCTCTGTGCTCCAGCAGTGTGACATTCAAATCACAATGGTTTTACAGTTACTGTGCCCCTGTTTAGGAGTACAGTGAAAAGGGTCCTGGCTTCAGTTGGTATATCCCAGGAATTATACTCTTCCATCTAGTTTCTGCTGGTGAGATTAAGTCAGTGGAGAAGGACAGTGAAACAGTGGGTTTTGCCCCAAACTTGGGAACCAGCCTTAGGAATTTCTACAGAAACGTCTCTAGACCAAGATTACGCCCCACAGGTACTTGCCCCAGTGACTGGACAGTGTCTCTGTGCTCCAGCAGTGTGACATTCAAATCACACTGGTTTTACAGTTACTGTGCCCCTGTTTAGGAGTACAGTGAAAAAGGTCCTGGCTTCAGTTGGTATATCCCAGGAATTATACTCTTCCATCTAGTTTCTGCTGGTGAAAAAGCATTTCATGGGGCGATCTTTCATAACTGCTCTTACTCATCAGACCCGAGATGAGGCACCTTGCCCTCCCCTCCTGCAAAAACAATTAGGGCACTCAGCGAACAGCATCAAGAGAGGCTTCAGGTGAGCCTGAATCCCTGTATGTTTAGTAGCTGTGTGAAAGTCAACAATCTCATCCTCTCACTAAACTTGGAAGCTTGGTTTCCTCTTTTTTGTAAAATGAGAGTAATAACACCCCTTGCCAATCACACAGGGTTATGGTGAGGATCAAAGCAATGTTCACAGGAGCTTTTAAAACAGTAACTCACCATAGGAAGGAAGGCGTTACTATTTGGGGTTCTTTAAGGTTGAGAACAATTTCTACTAGGTAATGCAGCATGTTACTGAAGAAAGGCTACTTTAAGTCATGGTATGTGAGGAGCCGAACAGCATCAAGAGAGGCTTCAGGTGAGCCTGAATCCCTGTATGTTTAGTGGCTGTGTGAAAGTCAACAATCTCATCCTCTCACTAAACTTGGAAGCTTGGTTTCCTCTTTTTTGTAAAATGAGAGTAATAACACCCCTTGCCAATCACACAGGGTTATGGTGAGGATCAAAGCAATGTTCACAGGAGCTTTTAAAACAGTAACTCACCATAGGAAGGAAGGCGTTACTATTTGGGGTTCTTTAAGGTTGAGAACAATTTCTACTAGGTAATGCAGCATGTTACTGAAGAAAGGCTACTTTAAGTCATGGTATGTGAGGAGCTCACAATCTAACGTTCCTGACTCACCATATCCTTCTCAAAAGGCTCCATCAGCAAGTTGCTTTGGAAGGGGTGTGAGCCAGAATATGCCAGAAGCTACTGAGCCCAATCTCCCCCAAAGAGCAATGGTGCTTGAGGTTGGACTTTGGGGACAATGGCGATTGAAACCCACTAACAATGGCAAAATTCTTTTCTTGGGGCAGTCCAAGAGCACCACAATTGAAAACTCTGACCTTTGGTGCTAAAACCTGCAGGAATCCCAAATGGGAAGAAAGCTGTCTCCCATCTGGGAGACTGAGTACTTCGACTAAGTTTCCCTCTCAGTCCTATGGCTGTCTTTTCAGTTGGTGACCCCGGCCACTGGAAATCACCATGCAAAAACACTCTCTCCTCTATGGCCTTAAACGTCCTCCTTTTTATACAACACACTTGACCTTGTTAGACTGGACACACCTACCTAAGCACCGCTTTAGAGTCAAGAAGTGAGGATTAAGTACTAGGTTCCCTCCTAAGTGTTGACGCTGGTGATTTTCCATCCTCTGCTCTAACAGAGCGAGGACAGATATTTATTTCATGTCTCTTTAAAATGCTGGGTGAAACATAAACATATTCAAGAAAACTCTTGATGCTTAGTGTTTCTCTGTTAGGAAAAGGAGAAGGAAAACAAATTAGGGGAATAGGAAGGAGCAAGAGGGACGGGGGCAAAAAACACTACTTACGCCGTTTGCAGCCGCATTTTTTTATTCTTTTGGGATCTGTGATGTCATCATGACAGGCTTTGCAGTAAAAAAATGCCCTGGAGAAAGAGAATGGAAAAACTGACACGTTTCATAATCCACCCAAATGAAATGAGTACCACATTTCCTCCGCGGTGGTGCCAAATTAATGAAACATGCCAGCACTAATTTCCTTTAATCTTCCGAAAGGTTTAGACGTTTGCAGACGGAAATGTTTGTTGCAAGACCGTTTATTTCAAACACAGGATTCTGTGATTTGACTTAGTGCTTCTTTTCATAAACTTCCATTTGAAAAGAAACTGGGAGAAAGGTTGCTGATGTGACATCCCGCCTCTGCCTGCTGATCTTTCATTTTGGAGAACAGCACTCAGTGCTGCTCGTCAAAACACATGGGCAATCAGCCCTGGGCCCTTGGTGGGGAAGTTAAAGGCAACGCTTAAATCCCCACAGTCTGCTCAAATATATATTAAAGGGGGCACAAGTATGACATTTCTCGGCCAAATAAAAACATTAACCCTGCCACTTTGAAAGCATATTTTCTTGCCAAAGTGAGAGGGGTTTGAGAGAAGGGTGGAGGGGCGAAAACAAAAGCAGTGAGGCTGCAGTTCTTCTGTCAAACTCCCTCTGGGATTTCATAGCTCATTTCACTCCCAACCTAGCTGGCCAACTCCCATACTCTCCAGTGCTGAGAATGTGTAATAAATGAAGGTTTTCTTCTCACGATGGAGCAAAGCCCAGGTGACCACTGGAATGGGGTGAGCAGAGGCTGTTGAAGGGATTGGTAAAAGAAGCAATCAACAAGAAAATCCCCTAATCTGACTCAAGCATCAACATGTGATTACAAAGTGCATTGGCTGTGTCTGAGATATTCTGGACAAGAGAAATAGGATCTTTTGAGCACTATTTAGTATCACAGTGCCTACAAGAACAGCACGAGAGACCTGTGCCTTTTCAGTACTGGGGAGGTGGTGAAATTCACTGGAACAACCTTATAGCCCTCTGGATCCAGGAACTCACCAAATCTTTGGCTTAGCGCCTTCACCACTCCCAACATGAGACTGAATGCCAGGGGTACACATGGTCTTTCCTTGACCAGGGCTAAAGAAATAAACCCAATTCTCGACCATTTGGTTCTTAGGTTCCTTTTTATGTTTTTCACAGGACTTACACTTATGAGTGGCACCCGTTGGAAACCAGTGTTAATAAGACTTTTGGATCTGGAGATTTTGCAGCCAAAATCTCTGGGACTCAGTGTCCTCATCTATAAATTGAGGAGGTTGTCATGACCTGCCCAAAGTCAACCCTGCTGGAGGCTGCCAACTCCCAGGGCTTCTAAATCCAAATCCGATGCTCTTTCTGTCTTAGAAACTCTTACATTATTTCCTTAAGTATCAACTGTCATCCATGTTGCAAAAAAAGAAAAGGTGGCTGACTATTTTCTTTGTGTGGTGATGTGGTTAAGAACCCAGTCAAGGGTAAGGCACCCTGAACTGGGAAGGAGGGGAAAAGAGAAAGCACCCGGGTTGAGGAAAGTAACTTTGCATGTACTTCCTCTGGCCAGTTTCTCTGCCCTGTGATGCTCCTAGTGTTATTAGGTAATGACACTAATGTCAACAACAATTGTAGCTGACATTTATAGAGCACAGACTATAGTCCAGGGGCTTTTCTAAGCATTTTACAAGCATTAATATATTTGATCCTCAAACAACCCTTTGAAGAAGTTAAGATTATTATCCCTGTTTTACAGATAAGGAAACTGAAGCACAGAGAGGTTAAGTGCCCTGCCCGACGCCACACAGCTGACAGTGGCAGAGCCAGGATTCAGTCCAGCATCAGAACCCAAGGTATCATACCCACCTGTACTAAAGAGATGATAACAGGCCTGAGTAGACAACTGAAAAGATGAAGTGTGGTCACCTCATAAATTAAAGCTGGATTCTTTTTTAAATTTAACTTAAAATTTTTAATTAACAAATAGACAGTGGCAGAGCCAGGATTCAGTCCGGCATCAGAACCCAAGGTATCATACACACCTGTACTAAAGAGATGATAACAGGCCTGAGTAGACAACTGAAAAGATGAAGTGTGGTTACCTCATAAATTAAAGCTGGATTCTTTTTTAAATTTAACTTAAAATTTTTAATTAACAAATAAAATTGTATATATTTGTGAAATGTTTTGATGTATGCATTGTGGAGTGGATAAATTAACATACACATCACCTTACATACTTATCGTTTTTGTGGTGAGAACCCTTAAAATGTACTCTCTTAGCAATTTTCTAGTATAGGACACATTGTTCGTAACTACAGTCACCACGTTGTACAACTGATTTTTCTGAACTTAGTCCTCTTAACTGAAATTCTGTAGCTTTTGACCAACATCTCTCCAATCCCTCCCAGCCTCTGGTGGCCCCTGTTCTACTCTCTGCTTCTATGAGTTCTATTTTTCTAGATCCCACATATAAGAGGGATCGTGACGGTATTTGTCTTTCTGGGCCTGGCATATTTCACATAACATAATGTCCTCCAGGGTCAGACCAGTTAGGCTAATGAGTGAACTGAGGCGAGGACCGCGGTGTCCGTGGTGACCTGGGTCACATCCCCCAACTGGACAAGGCAGAATGTCTATGCTCTAGCTGATCTCTGCCAAGTGCCACTTCATTGCAAGCACCATTCTCTCCCTCCTCCCCTCATCTCTGCCTCGGCCATGCTCACCCGGCAAAGCCCTACCTTACTGCACACCTGCACCTGAGCAGCTGAGTGCTGCTGGGGAGGAAAACACACTGATCTCACTCTAAATCCATGGCCGTGGATTCCAAGGTCCTTTTCACACTCCTCGGGATCTACTCCAGTCTCTTGGTGTTTGCTTCCCTGCTCTCCGAAACAGGACCCTCATAGAAACAGCTCCCAAATGTATGTCTCCAGACCTCACATTTCCCCAGAACGCCAAACTCTTAGATCCAACTGCCTTTACATCTCCATGAGTATGTGCAGCACCTTCTTCCACTTAACACAGCCCAAAGAGAATTCTTAAATTCCTACCACCCAAAAGTTGCTCCTCCTCCAGTTTTCCCTGTCTCAGTAAGACGGAGCTATGATCACCCTCCTGCTTGAGCTACAAATCCACGTGTCGTCCCTGATCTCTTTTCTCCCTCACTTCTATACAGCTCATCAGTGGGTCCTGCTGACTCTCTGAAATATAGTTTGAATGGAAGTCACTTTTCGACACTCCCACTCACCAGCCAGCCCAGGCTGCCACCCCATCTCACCTGCACCATGCAATGTCTCTGAGCCTCTCGCCTCCTCTCCTGCTCCATCCCATTCCCTTCTCAACAATGCATGCAGAACAGCCTTTCACTAATGTAAATCAGACCACATCACCCCCCAGCTGAAAACGGTCAATGACTTCCATTTTATAACAAATCCAACCTCTGAATAAAGTGTTATAGGGACCAGCCTCTGCCTTTGTCTGTAACCTCATCTCATACCACTCTCCTCCTCACCTGCTCCCCTGGCCACACTTTCCTTCTTGGGATCCCTGCATGCAAGGAACTTTTTCCCACCAAATCTCCTCTTCCCGTCTGATCTTTGCATGATAGACTCTTTCTCAGCATCTCAGTCCCTACTCAAATACCACCTCCCTCTCCAAGTAGCCTTCACTTGTACCCAATTGAAGTCAGTGACCCAGTGGCATGTGTTCTTTCACCACGGGAAGAAAAACTATAATTCTCTCCTCCGTAGAACGTGAGCCCCAGGACAGCAGGGGCTTCTCAGCACTGTTCACCACCGTTTCCCTGGCACCTAGTATAGAGCCTCCTAAGCAGTAAGCTGAATTTGATGAATGAATGAATGAATGAATGAATGAATATAAGAATGCTTCCCAGTATTGTTGGTTCTGCCAACTTTTCAGGGGAAAGCAACAATAAGAATTTTTATGTAGCTTCTCAGCACTGTTCACCACCGTTTCCCTGGCACCTAGTATAGAGCCTCCTAAGCAGTAAGCTGAATTTGATGAGTGAATGAATGAATGAATGAATGAATGAATATAAGAATGCTTCCCAGTATTGTTGGTTCTGCCAACTTTTCAGGGGAAAGCAACAATAAGAATTTTTATGTAAAAGTTCATGACTTTTTCACCTTGTTAACTAATCAATTTTTTTTTCCTTTTTGTCTTTTTTCGTGTCCAGCAACGGATCGCAACCCTCAGTGCTGCGCCCATACCGGACCGGGACCGGCAATGGGATTGCAACCCTCGGTGCTATGCCCGCACCTCGCTCAGCCAGTGAGCGGGAACCGGTCTGTATGTGGGATCCGAACCCTTGGCGGGAGCGCCGCCGCACTCCCAAGCGGCGCACTGCAGCAGTGCGCCACCGGGCCGGCCCCTAACTAATCAATTTTTAAAATTATAACTCAAAATAATCATATCTGCAAGCCAAACTGAGTCAATGAGCCACCGTTTTGACTCCTATATTAAAGACGATGTCCCAAGGTTATTTAAAAAGAAAAATACTTAGTGTCAAGGAGTAAAGTACAAGTGCCCAAATGCCCATCCCAAAGTGACCTCTCTGAGACTGGAATTGAATTGTTTCACTTTTCTTCTAAAACACTACATGTGAAAGTTTCTATGAGCTAGAACTCATTAACTTCTTTTGTTGTTTTTTGGCAGCAGAGGGTGTAAATTTTCTTCTAAAACACTACATGTGAAAATTTCTATGAGCTAGAACTCATTAACTTCTTTTGTTGTTTTTTGGCAGCAGAGGGTGTAAATTCAATACTAGATCACCATAATCTACTTTTCCATTTTTACAAAACTTGTTTAGTTTCATTCAAATCTCCAATGTCCTTCCTGTGGTTTTCTGCAGTCTTCATCTATTTGAAATTCCCTAACTGACAGCATTTGCTGTGACACATCGCACACCACGGAAAATTACAGGCTGGTGTTGCAGCTGATTGTGTCAGCATGTATTTGTGAATATCATAAAGCACTGAAATGAGACATATTGCAGTCTCTAATATAGGAGGTAATTTGTTTTTTGGACTGCCTGGTATTTGTGACATTCATTAGTGAGAGATGCAATAGGAAATAGAATTACACAAATGGGAGCTTCATGTTATATTTGCTATCTGGGAGGTACACGAGATATATGGGGCTGCTGTGCTCCCCAGCCTCCTGTATTTGGAGCTGAGATGCTGCTTCAAGCGTTTGCATCTCACAGTCTGGACAACAGCACAGCTTTCTCTTCTAGAGGACCTGGGGGCAGGCAGGGGCTTCAGCCCTAGTCGTTTCCACTTTCTCTTCTCATGTGAAATCAGTTCTCAGGATATGTCTGAAGAATAGTGAGGCTCCATGAACTGGGTAGGGAGGTATTTCTTTCCCACAACTCAGTGATGGTCATCTTTTCCCAATTTGCAGAAGTAAATTTAAGTTATTAGAGAGCTCAGTCTAAAAAAACTTTTTTCTGTTCCTCCATGCCATATTTTATTTTTCCTGAAAGCTTTTGTAACAAATATGGCTAGTTTGCTAGAGTGGATGAGGAGAAAGAAAATCTTAAGTATCAGCTGTCCAATGTCACTGTTCTGTATCCAGCATGTCAGGCTCACTCCTTGGCAAATAATTAAGAGTACAGACTCTGAAACTGGACTTCCTGGCTTTAAATCCTGGCTCTGTTACTCACTAGCAGTGTGACTTTGAGCAATCTTAGTTTACCAATCTGTGCCTCAGTTTCCTCATATGTAACGTGGAAAATTGTAATGCTACCTATCACACGATGTTGCTGTGAGGATTAAATGAGTTCATAGATACAGATAATCTAGTACCTAGAACAGTGCTGGTGCATAGTAAGTCCTCATAAGAGTGTGTTAGCATTCTTAAATTTGCTTGAAAGAGAGTGGGTTTTAGAGAAGGAGAGACCAGTTCCAATCTGGGCTTGGCAACGTACTCATGTTCTGTGTGGCTTCAGACAAATCATGTATCTCAGTTTTACAGGTGAGGAAACCAAAGCCCAGAGTGTTTAAGAAGACTTACCTCCCAGGGTTATTTTGAGGAGTAGCAATAAAGAATGTAGCATACCTAGCACAGCCTGGCTTTGAGCAGAAACTCCTTAAATGAAGACAATAGGCTTTTATAAATAATTATAGACCTTCACAATGAATAACTCACTTAAAATACTTTATGTAACATTACTGTTGAGCTGAGTGACCTGTCTGACCACTTGTGTCACATTTTCTGCCAGTAAATTTTTACAAGTTCATAGGATAGAATCAAATATAACAATATTCCATGTTGTTCTGCAAAGAGCCCTATGATTCCCTAGGCTATTTAAACAGGATTAAGGATACTAATAAAAGTGTCATGAAATATTGAGGCCAGTGAAATCCTGGGCTGTACCCACAGAGGCTTAACAATTGAAGCTGACAACCTCAGCCACTTACCTAAAAGACTGCAAATAGAAATATAGCCAGTTCAATATTTCACCTGAAATTAACCCAAACCTTTTGAAATTCCATTTGGCACTTACAATAGAAAACTGGTAATTCTCAAGCAAATGTGCCTAGATAATATAAAGTAAAGAGCACTGGAAAAGTAGCTAGTTGTCCTGTGATGTTTTCTGGGTCATCAAGAATCTAGATGACCTTGTGTAGTCACTTTAGTTCTCTGGGCCTCAGTTTCCCCTCTTGTAAAATGAAGAAGCAGGTAAGTAGGCCTCCTAGTTCTAAAATTTTATTATTCTAATCAAAGATGTGGAATTGACTATGTAAAAAGAGTCCACAGAAGATCTGAAAGCATGATCTCTTTTTCCTAAAACTCTGCACCATTGGGTGCCCACAGGTACGTTAAGAAGTTTTGGGGTTAGAGCCCTGCACACATGGAAGCACGCCCACCTTAGTAGGCGAAGATGTGTATGGCTGGGCCAGAAAGAAAGGCAGATAAAAATAAAATCTTACCTTTTAACTTCTTTGGCATCACTTGCGATGAAAAATCCTAAAGTACCTTCTTGGATCTTAAGATGGTTTCCAGGATTAATTAATATACTGCTCAGTGAACAAAAACAAAGAAAGAAGACACATTTGTGAGGTCATGTTCTGAATAAAACCTTCAAGGCTGCACCATACTGTTGTTTCTATAGGGGGCCCACTAGTTTAATGTGTTTCCCAAAGATTTTGTCCAGAACATGATGTCCACTGCCCACACATTTAGTTGGATCAGGCCATCATTAAGCTCCACTGGTTAATTCCCAGGCTGGTACACTCCTGCTTAAGGAAATCAAAGCAAACCTAGGTTTTAGGGCCTGGGTTTGTATAATGGGCCAGTCTAGCTGCCGTCATAGGCATCTGACTTTATAGCCCTCCTCATAATGAATCCCTTTTGAAACTGCTATTCATGGTCAATGTTGAAACATTTTTTGTCTAATAAAGCTCTTGCTGTACTAATTTGTCGTTAGATGGCAGAACATTAATGGGACCCCTATATGCATACAGAAACATACATGTATACACACCACATACTACCATGGGGAATGGTACAACACACCCACAACCAATGCAGAAGCAAACCGAATATCTTCATGACATTGATAAGCACATGAAGTAGACTCCATGTACAGCCTATGCAGGAAGAACTGGATCTACCCAAACAGCAAAAAAGAAAAATGTCAGCAATCAAATATACTGAATGATTCCAGTCTGCTGTTCATAAAAATATATGGGGTGTCTGAATAAGATGTGTGTCTAGTATTTTCTAATTGGGGCAAACTGTACTTAGAAAACAAATGCAAATTACTCCTAAAATAAACTTGGCCTGCAGGGAAGGATAAACCTAAATATACACTGTCCTGTTTCAAAGTGGTATAAATAGATTAGCTGACCAAGTTGTGTTTGGACTGACAGAAGAGATAAATAGATCCTAATCTAATAAATGGATGAAACAAACAAGTTTAATTTTCTGCAGATCAGAAGCAGAATACAGGAATGTCTTACACAGAGATTAAGATGAGGCTTTGGCTTAATAGACGCCGAATTTAGGAACCTTAAATCAAGAAATAGATACAAAAGAGGTATTCTTTGATCTGAAAAGCTGGTATTTAAGGTAATAGATATTTGGAATCAGTCTAAAGGAAGTCCTTGGCTGCCCAAAACAATCACCATGGAGGACAGTAATTAACATGTAATCATTTTCTGCTGGTAAAACCATTCCAGAAAAGTGCTGTGCCAGGAGAGTGCTATATCTGTAGTAATACAGGAAGGACCCAGGGCAACTTTTGTTCTGTTGAGAGAACTCTGAGCATTATCATTATTGCACAATAACTGTCTGTGGTCACAAGAACATCCACCATCACCTGTAACAAGACCTGACAGAAGGAAACCGAACCTTTGTCATCGCTGTTATTAACACGAAGTAATAGCAAGAGTCTATGAAGATCTGACTGCTCTGCCTAGAACCACAGGCAGCAATGAGATTCCTCCCAAATCAGAGAGCAGCAGGCCACACTGATAGCACAGCTTGCAAGGGGCAGCGGGGTGTACGGGCACCTCTTAATTATCTCCCTGCCAAGTCCTCACATTCGTCTAACAAGCCCTCTGACTTCACGTGATCACGAGGGGAAAGGGTCAGAGCTTATACAGCTTAGATGAATTTCTTTCTCAAAGCCAATTAAATATGACGTTTTAGAAAGGCAGGATTCTGGATTTTGCGCATTTTCTTACCTCCTTTCCTGCATGACAGTTCTTATACCCCCTGGCTCTGCAATCAGAAATTGGGTCCAGGGCCGAGCCCGTGGCGCACTCGGGAGAGTGCGGCGCTGGGAGCGCTGCCGCGGGTTCGGATCCTATATAGGGATGACCGGTGCGCTCACAGCGCTCACTGGCTGAGCGTGGTGCAGCCGGTCTCAAAAAAGGACAAAAAAAAAAAAAAAAAAAAAAATTGGGTCCAGATTCCAGCACTGCCCCTTAGCAGCTGACTGACTTTGGGAAAGTTACTAAGCCTCCTTAGAACTCAATTTCCTCACCTACAAGAGGAGGACGATGATAAAAACAGTCTTTCTTCAGAGAATTAAGTGACAATGTATAGAAGGCTAGATACATGTTGGTTGGTTACTGTTACTTTTATTATTTTATATAATAAAATAATTTAAAAAAAGCAAATAATGCAAAAAAAAAAGCCAAAGTGCATTTCATTTTCAGCAGGAATTATCAAAGATTTTCCTTAGCTGGCCCCATAGAATGGAATACAGGGCTTCTTATCAAAACACCTGCCCATAATGAGATGAAGTTACCAGGTGAAAAACTGTACACTTCAGGATAATGTATAAGGACATACACACAAAAAATTCCATGGACTTTCGGAACCTAAAGAAGCTAGTTCCTTTAAGTTGGAAAAGTCTACATTTTGATCTGTATTCTTATCAGAATGTAAGAACAGCTTCTGAGTGAGAAAAATCCTACCGTGATTTGGAAAATGGAATTCAAAAGGAGAAATTTGACGCACATCACCTCAGTGACATACAAGTGCAAAACAAGCCTCACATTGTACACTGTGGCCTTTCTTCATGTCACCTGCTTCATTAATTGTACTCCAGTGACAGAGCCCACTGTGTTATTGTGAAACGCAGTGTTAGCAAGGTTGCTATCCATGAAAAGTTTCTTTTCAATTCCTTTCTTCTTTATCAACAGTGAAAAAACATTGGTCTACAGTGAAGTTTTAGGGTTGGCGTTCTAGACAGTACAGGTTGGGATGATTTATTGCAGTCTTTGAGCTTGCTTTAGCCAAGTTAGTGTGTGGAGAGAAAAGATCTGGGACACGATGTAAGGCACGCTGTGTTCAAATCTCAGGTTTGCCATTGATTTTGGTTAAATGCCCAGGCACAGGAGTCAGGCCTCACCAGTTCAGGGCCTGGCTTTGAGCACGTGGGCACAACTCAACCTCACTCTCCTCATCTGTAAAATGGGGTGAATAATCACTAGCTTACAGTGTTTCTAAGAGAATTAAAGTGCATACTCTGTGCTGAGTAACTAGCACATAGTAGGTTGTTAATACATGATTGTTATTAATAATGAGCAAGGTGATTATAAAATTAAATGAGAGGTAAATAAACTCTCACAGCACCAGAACTTCCATTTTGTTCTTGGTGCTAATAAATGATGCAGGAGGTACCCTATTGGCATTAAAAGATCTTTTTACTGATCGCAGTATCCAAAACATTTTATCCCTATGCAGCATCTGGGGACTGGCTAACGTGGACTGACTTTTGTCTGCACAGTGGAGTGCCTCTTGTTCCTCAAATATTATGGCTGATTGTATCTCCAATGACCTCACAGGCCATGTGACTCCAGGATGCCCTCTCGTTCCCTGTGGACAGGGTGAGAGGGTTTAGATCGTCGCTGTGTGAGGTGTGAGGCAGCACCATTTGCAGATATCTAGATGACGCTAAGGCAGCCTTCTGGGTGGGAATTCAAAGAATGAGTCCAGCCCTTGAGAATAGTGAAAGGAAGAAATATAGATACATAAAGATGCTCATTGGGCGGGATTCGGCTCATATATTTAAGGATTTGGTAAAGAAGCATATGTCTCTGATTCCAGGGGACCATGACATTCAATATTCCCTGTGTAGGAGTACAAAGTTTCAAAAACTCTTTGAGGAAATACATCACTGTTTTTGATACTTCAGACATTAAGTCTTCTACCCACATTCCAAATCTAGAAAGGTTAAATAAAGTGTTAATTCTCATCTTCTTGAAAATATAAAAGGATAGAGATTCTATGCAGAAGTAACCTTTTTCTTTACTTTTTTTTCTTTTTCCTGCAAAATGCCTACTACCCTTAGAATTTCTCATTGACCTCCTAATGAGAATACATAAATTTTCCCAAAGATCTCTGATCTCTTTAGATTATCCAATGTTAAGTTTGTTTTGTTCTTACAACTGCCAAAAGTCTCCCTCCCTGTGCGTTTTTTCTTTACTTTTTTTTCTTTTTCCTGCAAAATGCCTACTACCCTTAGAATTTCTTATTGACCTCCTAATGAGAATACATAAATTTTCCCAAAGATCTCTGATCTCTTTAGGAGATTATCCAATGTTAAGTTTGTTTTGTTCTTACAACTGCCAAAAGTCTCCCTCCCTGTGCGCCACTTTAAATCAGTCCTCTGGCTCTAACTCTGTCTAATTCACTATCTTACCAGAGATAAACTTCAAGATGTATCATGTGAAGAATCAAGAAAATCTCTGAAAAGAAAAGCCCATCCATCCATTAGCAGAATTCCAATAAGGACATCTTCTTGGCAGGGGTGGAGTTTCCCTCATTTCAAAGAACATATAAATTGTCCTCTCTCTTCTATGACCTTACTGATTTCAACTGAAAACATCCGGTGACAGCTGGAAGAACAGGGCTGGTGTGGTCCCTTCTCCAAGGATACTTGCTCTTTCTTTTCCTTTGCTCTCACACTAGTTCTAAATTTAGACTCATTCTTTGTCTACTCACCCACTATATGCAGTAAATACATATTTTATGTAAGGAACCTATAGAGGGCAAAAAACACGGTCACGTTCTACCTACTTTTGAGTTTCTCATAGTAGCAAGCTTAGAGCTCTGCATGCAATAGGCACTTTTCAACTATTTGTTGAATGAATGAAAAACATAAGTATTGGTCTGAGTTCTAAAAGTTTGCCTTTTCACTTCTAATAAGGGGAAAGGAAGCCACAGGTGTTCTTTCAAAGACCAAGCCGTACTTAATCGTCAGCCAGGCCCATCGACCCACCTCTTCTAGTGGGTTGGCCAATTAGCTAACAATCTCCCAGAGGCATTAAGCATAAATATGCAAATATACAAATATAAAAACAACGTGGAGAGTTGGAGCAAATAATTTCAATATTGAAAATACAGCTCCCTTAGAACTGAACTATGTGTTCCTAAACACAAAACACGTCCACGTGGAACTGGCTAGCAGGGCTCTGTCCAACAGGAAAATGTCTTTATTAGCTTCCTCTGTGAGAGGAGCACCAGGTCTCAAGCTGCACTGCATTTCGTTGGGTATCTCTTGCTGAACACTGGTCAGGTTGGAGGACTGGCACTTGATGGGGACACTTGTGCATGACAAGTGTGATCTCTTCCTCAATCATTGTAAACTTCACTTGTTTGCTGTTTTTGCAGACAATGATTCAGCTGAAACAGATATTTTTTAAAGGAAATTTTTTCCTATTATGGATAAGTATGATAGACGTGTGTTTCTCTCCTCCTCTTCTTCCATTTTTGGTAGGTGTAATGTACCATTCCCCAGGCAATTAAAAAATATCATGACTCCTATGAGAATGTAGTTTGTACTTGATAACATGGTAATTATATTTGTCTAGCAAGTTAATGGGACTTCATTAACTACAGCAAGCAGGTAGAAATCATCTAGGACTTCAGGTCATGCTATGCCCTGATGAATCATGCCACTGGGAAGAGGCCTCTTTGATCACACAAGTTCATATACAGTTGCTGTCAGCTGGGACTTTGCTTGAATCGACTGTGTCCCCTCTCAGGGAGTACAACTGCAGTCACTGTGGTTCGAGGGCTGTGTTAGGGCACAGCTCGAGAAACCCCAATCTCAAATCTTATAACCTTTCTGGAACTTTTCATTCCTTCTGGGCTTTAAAATAAGTGCTGCTGGAGTCCCACCCAAGTAGACAAGCACACTGTTACTTTAGAATCTATGTAGTAGACATGGTTGTGTATTCCATGCTTCAATATACTTAAGCCCAGTTTACTTACACAGATATGGCATAATAAAGATTGCTCCCAGTTGGTCAGATCCCAATGACCACCACTGTCGTCCACTAGTGATACTGGCAAGGACTTTTTAGCCTGAATCCATCTCAATAATTTTAGAAATGGTATTTTAAAATATACTTTGCCTAAATGAAAATGTTGGCCACATAGATGGGCAAGAGAAAGTTGGTCTGGGAAGGATAGTGCTGGATATCTGGTTCTGGGAGCAAGCCAAGTCACTTTTTGGTACACTTTCAGACAAGTCATGCCTATATCACAACATGCCTTCACCACACGATAAAAGGACTCAAAGGCCAAAAGCCAACAGCACAGGTGCAACCACTGTGGACCTTTGAAGATGCAAAGTGTTGCAGTAACTTCTCGCAGTTGGATCATATCGATAATACCAAACTGACAGGAAGCCACCTCTATTTATACACATCTACTCAGAAAAATCACAGAAGAATTTGACTGTGGGAAGAGTTCCAGACAAATACACATACAAGCACGCACACACAGTTACAAACACAAACACGTGACAGTGACTACAAGCACAAAGAAGAGCAACTCTTGAAAAGATGAACAAGTAGGCATCTCAGTAGTATGTTTTCAACAATACTGTCATAGAGAGCACATTATTAAAAACCTATGCTTGAAATATTAACCCAAAAAGGTAAAAAAAAAAAAATGCCACTGATGACGATTTAGACATGCTTCATGCAACATGAAACAGCAGCAAAACAGGGTGAAGTCACATGGTGAAAATTGAGATACTTCTTCATATGAAGAAAAATGCCCAAACACATTAGGGGAAAAAGCCATACGTTTGTCTCAATAAACGGTACTCATTCAGTAAATCGAGTGTGATAACCTGGCAATCTAGCAGCAGTGTTCTAAGTCTTTACTGAGCACCGCCCAAGAAATAAAATACTCAAAATGTTATCACCAAAATAAGTGGAAGGAAAAACAGATGTGTAAGGGCTTGGTCTCTGTTTTGTGGATAAAAGGACATGAACTCTGCACTGCAAACTGGAAACTCGACACAAGGAGGGGAAGGTCACTGGGAATGTGGATGTGGCATGTAGACAAAATGGCACCAGAGTCTGCCGGACACCAAGTCACATCAGGACAATACAAAACAGACACAAAGGGCTGGAGAGAAGTGTCCTCCTTTTCAACTTTGATAGTATTTGTTCCCATCATTGGTGCCATAACTGAAAACAGCATTGTGCCTTTCCTTTTTTTTTTTTAGGTTTCCTGCAAAGAAGTTAGTGCATCATCCAAAAGAATCAACAAATCAAACAAAAAACAGCAATAGGCTACTTTCAATTTTGATGTACTCTTGTTGGAGGTGGATATATATATATATACACATATATATAAATACACATATATTATATATATATATATATCAGACAAGGGAATGAGATTATATATGCATATATATAATCTCTCTCTTCTTGAATTCTTGGCAAATGGTTAGTCCTGTGGTTAGGAGCGAAGGTAGAGGGTGGAGGTTGGAAGGAAAGTTAACGAAGAGTGCATACCGCTTTCGGCTTCTGCAAAACGACAAGAAAAGAATTTAAAATCAAACAATTTGATAATAAATCGACGGACACCAGAAGGAAAGAAGGAATAAAACCTTTGTTTCAAATCATTTGAAGGATGCATGTGAAAACAAGGTTTTCCAGCAAAGCATGGAAACAGTCTCACGGGGTGAAACCAACAACAAAGGAGGTAGTTAAACACGGGTCGAAAGCAAGGCGGTGGGAAGGAGACGCAGGTTCTCTGAATTTTAACACCTGGTCGGTTAGAAAATGTAAGAGCAAGAGAAATGGGGAATTTTTAAATGAAGAAAAAATTAAAATTATTATCTCAGGAAGAAATCAAAAAATCGTTCATTTTGAACATGAATATTGTGTTTGATAAGTCCTGTGTTTTCTCAGAAGCATGATCCACATTCCCTCAAACACACCTTTTTCCACAAGAACCAATGTGCTTCCACACTGAGACCAAGCCACATTTGAGGGTGAAAGCTGGCAACTGCACACAGAAAGCCAAAACAAAGCCAAACAAAATCTTTTTGCCCTTTTCCGAAAAAAAATTTAAAAATTCTCTCCATCTGTTAATATGGCTTTGTTGAAAACATCTCAGATTTGTGACTCAGTTGAAAGGTCCATCAGAGAAAAGATTTTGTCATCAGAGAGTGCTCTGAGTTCGTTTCCTTAGAGTGGTGACAGTGGATTCACGTTGAGCCATTAACAGCCTTTTGCTCTCCCTCCTTGTGACCAAAAGGTAGCAGGTGGGAGATGGCTGGTCAAGGTTCAGGGAACAGTCTCCTGCCATGAAATTATTCTAGAATGGTCAAAAAACACTATTTGGCATCAGCATCATCCACATTATGACACTTTCTTGAGAGATGCACAAAAGTGATAGGGAACACTGCCTCAAGTAAATCTTACACAAAGATTTACTGACTTGGCAACACAAAGATTATCATTTGCAAAAACCCAGGATACACAATTCCCCAGCACAGGTAATGAGAATTGGCAAAATCATGGGCAAACAGTAATCCTAGAAAATTCCACTTTATTAAACAGCAAATAGCCAGAACTTTCTCATTTTTTTTGCAAATAATATTCTTCACATTGCCAGCACAGGAAAGAAAAATGTATATCTATATACATATTTTTTAACTTCTATGGCCATGTTCTACATGTGGCCACCAAATCTACCGTTTTTTGTTTTTTGTTTTTTTTTTTCCTTTTGGTTGATTTGGATTTTCAAAATAGTTCAACATTTGATCAAATTGACTTTGTGAGCAATCTGATCTGGTGGTTAAGGTAACAGAAAACATTGGATTGACTTGCTTACAATCCAGTGTTTTATTCATAGACACAGATTGTACATTTGGAAGTCTGGCTTTATTGGGCCATTCATCCAGACAATGAAAATTCCTTAAATGACGACAGCAGGAACCTTCTAGTCTTGCCCCGCACTCTGCTCAGTTTTAATTAAGGCATGTGTTGAGGGTATCTGTACTCTACATGTAGGCATCTGCAGAAATGAACGATTTATTATAGGAGGAACAGACTAAGGATGTCATTTCAGAGAACAAAAGCCCGAGTATCTCTCAATGAGCTCTCTCTCTTCCAAAACTATTGATAAGAACTGGGGAGCAAAAATCATCTCCACTTTATCTGTAATGCATATAGCACCCCATCAACAGAATTCCTTGTTAGCAAGATGCTTCCCTCCTCCTGTGTGAACTCATATATTGGCTGGGGTGTTATCTATTTCAACCAGAACCAGTCCCTCTTCAGTCTGATTTGCACATAATTAAGTGCAAAATAAATAAGTAAAGAGAGCTCCTGCCTTGGAGCCCCACCCTCCTGGCTAATTCACATGAAGCTGATATTCTACCACCTGGATTTTGGTTGCACTGAGAGAAGCACATGCAGCACACCATAGGCTGCCTGTAATTTGGCTATCAAGAGAGCTCGTGTCTCCCACCATGGCTCTAACCCATGCCTGCTGTAAAGGAGACCAGAGTCCACCGGCTTTTTGCTCACAGCAGTGAAGAAGGGTTTTAGGACAGGGCCTGCACCTGGCTTTAGGCTTAGAGAGTGAGAGGTCCAGGTTGGAATCTTCAGGTGGAGATATTTGAGCAGCTCATCTCTCTTCCTTGGAGAAACATTGTGAATGCCCAGGGGGGCTGGGCATGCCAGGCTGGTCTGGGATAGAAGCTGCAATGTCTGATTGAGCGTGCCTTGAAATGTACCCTAGGGTCAGAGAGGTGCAGCATCGGGTTCCAAGCAAAGAAATAATGTGCAAAAAGCAGAAGTGGACCAAACGTTACCACAGTGCACTCTCACCACCGTAAGTACCAGCTGGCCGCTGGGTTGCAGCAAACTTACCGGCTCTCTCGGTTGGCAGACTTGTACTCAATGGCTATCATTAGGAGCTTGAGCTTCACAAAACACAGCCTGCAACGAGATGGAGAAGGCTCCCAGTCAGTGCTTCTGAACAACCAGAGCCGTATAACAAACAGTTACGACCTTTCAGTCTCCTAATGCAGTCATTATCCAGGGGGATCCTAATTCTATAGTCGCTGTGCCAAAGGGAGGGGACGGAGGTGACACCACCCCATCTTCCCCATTAAACCTGATTTCTCATAAGTGATAAAGCGCTGGATGTGCAAAGTGCAAATTGCACTCAGGCCTGGACGTCTAGACACAGACTCTGATTTGTGCCTAGGGATTTGCGCCAGGCCAGATTCATTAGTTGCTCGGTTGGGTAGTAAAATGTTAACTACAGGGGGAGGGAGAGATTTGGAGCAGCTGGACCTGTTATTTGGATTCCATTTTGGTCTTTTGTACGGATGGCTCATACTGTTGTCCAGAGCAGCCCCCTGTGTGCTTGGAATGACGGTAATAATACTTAGCTTCCGTGTAAGTACCCAGCACATGACTGTGGCATTGTGTCTCCTGCTCCGTCCAAGCTGTCTCACCTCGTCTGCCCGCTGCTCTCGACCGCAGGCAGGACGCTTTGAGGCTGGCTTGTTCCTGCCTCCAAGCCTCCACTAGGGCAGCTCCTCCCCTGCAATACCTTCTCTTCTCTCCCCACCCATCCGCCCAGGCCATGCCAAGTCTAACCTTCCTTGTAGGTCCTCTCCAGCTACTGCTACCCTCAGGCTTTCTATTCTCAGGACTCCTCCATGCCTTGTCTGTTTAACCACATCACTTAGCCCTTAGTCAATTTTTTATACTGGCTGCATTGCTCCCTACTGTTTGCTGTGTCTGAACTTTGTCTCCTCAACCAAAGCACCTTCTTTATGAGTTTTGTTAATTTGTTTGGAATTCCACAGAGCTCAGTAAATCAACCCACCGACACAGAGAAGCTCCATAAATAAATGATTTCCGCTACTGGGCTTCAATTCTAAGAAAATAATAAGAGATGCAGTAACAAATTTATGCATAAAGATGTTCAGGGTTGTGTTATTTACAGAGAAGAAAAATTGAAAGTAACCTAAATGTGCAATAATTAAGTGATGGCTAAATGAAGTACAGTGCGATATGGTGTTAGACCATATTTGAAATGGCTTTTTGAAGAATATTTCAAAATATAAAATCAACAAATAATATTATATAAAAAGATACTAAAAAGTAAATAACATGATACAATTAGATGAAAATATATTAATATACTCATAGAAATAAGTGCTCACATAAACAAAAAGAAAGAATTATATACATTTTGTATTGTAACCTTCTACAAAGAGCATTAACACTTATTTTTGAAGGACTTTTTGGATAATAAAACATTGGTGGACTGATAGAATAAAAAATGGGTCGATGGTTATTTAGCTCCAGGATTACAAGGGGCATGAAGCGCAGGGTCAAGGGGTTGGGCCTTTCTTTGTGTTCCCATTTAATCTGCACAATATCCCTACGTATGGGATGTTACTCCATGTATTCAGACTTCTATTGATACCTGTATTTTGCTGGTGATGAAACTAAGGCTCAGAAAGCCCATGTAACTTGCCTAAGGTCTCTAGGTAGGATATACAACATCTTCATCTCCAGTGAAGCCTATTTTATATTGGGAGATATAGGCAATAAGCAAATAAACAAGTGAATAATAATAAATTTTCAGATGATAAGTATGCAGATACTATGCAGAAAATAAAACAACCTAAGAGGATAAAGAGTAACTGGGAAGGCGTGTGTCATCCACGATGGTCCAGGAGGACAATTCTGGGGATGCAGAGAGCACTGGGGCATGATGTAGAGCAGGCAGAGAGAAGATACGGGAAAATAACTTTCTAGGGAGTAGAAACAGCAAGTCAAAGGCCCTGAGGCAGGAAAGAGCTCTGGGTGTTTGAGGACCAGCAATGAAACTAGCAGGTCTGGAGCTGAGTGAGGAAAGTTGAGACTGATAGTGACTGGGTCAGAGAGAAAGAACAAGATCTTGAGCACTCTGTCTGCCATGGGAAGGAGACTGCACTTATTCTAAGGGAGGCCTTTCATTGGTTTTAAAATAGAGAAGCGACACCATCAGATGTGTTAAACATGGGGATGTGTTGCTTGTAAGGAAGGTGCTGCTGAAGGCCTCATGCTCTCCAAGGGGAATGAGACCAATTGCTTGTTCCTACATGTGAGGTCAAGGTCCCTGCCATCGCTTGAACAGACAGTCAAATTTCAAAGGATTACTTCCACCCAGGCGTATTTGGGCTCTCTGGTGATTTGCAGGTTTTCTGATTCCTGCCAGCACACTCTAATGACCTGGGCTTTGTGCTGATTATGCAGCTTGCTGAAACACCAATACAGTATCCAACTACAGCTGGAAAAATGCCCTTCTTAATTTATGTCCCATAGAGCACTGCTAACATGCACCCTTTATGGGGCTCTTAATTCTGGAGCTTAAATTGTTTAAAAAATCAGATAGCTTATGCAATGTTTATAGAACCAAATTACCATATTAAGTAACCACTTTCTAATGTAAATAGTAGCTAAATGCCAAAAAATCAAGGAGAAGGCTGATCTTAACTTAGCATGGATCATGCAAAGCTTAATTTGCTGATGTTCTATGAGCCATTCCAATTTGGGACTCTGGTAGTTCATGGGATCAAAGATCGTAGTTGCTATTATGAACCTTGAACCTAATCCTATTGGTGAGAAGGGAAGAAATAATTCATAGAATGGTGGATTATGTCTTCTCAACTACTACAATACCATTTACCAACCTGATATAAAAAGAAAGGAGCTTCCTGATGTAGCAAAGTCAATAAAATCTATGTGGCCTTGTGCACATTCCTTAACCTTATTGGGTGTCGACCAGCAGATCCCTGAGTCCTCTTCTAGTATTAAATCCGTAACTTCATGACTTTCAAATCCATACCTAAGATGATTCTACATTGCCTTACAGAAGCCCCTTTTTAAGAAGCCATTTGATCCAAAACGAGCTTTTGCTCACTGGCCAAAGGAGAGACAGGAGAGGACAGGGACAGAGGGATATAAACAGAGTGAACACAGTCATCCATCCTGTCTCTCATTCATCATGGGGGATTGGTTCCAGGAGCAGATGCTCAAATCCCTTATATAAAATGGTGTAGTATTTGCATATAGACAGGGACAGAGGGATATAAACAGAGTGAACACAGTCATCCATCCTGTCTCTCATTCATCATGGAGGATTGGTTCCAGGAGCAGATGCTCAAATCCCTTATATAAAATGGTGTAGTATTTGCATATAACCTATGCGCATCTTTCCATACACTCTAAACCATCTCTAGATTACTTAAAATACCTAATACAGTGTAAATGCTATGTAAATAATTGTTATACTGTATTATTATTTTTATTATTGTTTATTGTAGTATTGTTATTTTTACTGTGTTTTTTCCTCAAATATTTTTGATCCGTGGTTGGTTGAATCCGTGGATGGTTGAATCCGTGGATGCAGAACCCGTGGATACAAAGGCCCGACTGTATATGCAAACAGTGCCACAGCATACATTTTCAGGTTTGGGCTCTTTGAGACTGGCTGGTCCTGCCCTTCTTACATAGATGACAAACTGAAGTCCGAAGAGGAAAAGCAACTGGCTGAAGGTCAAATGCCTTTTATGGAGAAAAGCCAAAAGCGAAAATCGAGTCTCTACGCTGTATGCTGCACAGATGCTTCTCATAAGAACAGAGGAAATGAAGTGGTTCAACATGCAGACACATTCTGTGTGGTCAGTACAGTGTTTCGTAAAAACCGGAAATAGATACCAACAGGTGATTTTATATGTAAACTGGCTTCTCCACTTTCCTTAAAAAATCACGGCCATAGTGGAACCACCTCCCACATGGCTAAAAGCAGCCCCCCCCCATGGGACGTGAGTTCTCCGGTGTGCCGAACTCTCCACCACTCCCTATTGTCTCAGACCCTTCACTCTTCACTCTTTGTGGCTGACTGGCCGCCCCCTACAGGCATTTTAATATCTGCTCTAATGGGTATCCTGTGGATTGGATATTGACAAAATACAGATCTTGAATAATAAACCACAGTTTACCCTGGAAGGAGAACTACGGCTCCCACTGTGAGTGTTGAAATCACACTCTTCTGTTAGATCTTGCCACAGAGAGTGGGCCAATGCCAGGGTCCTGGCTCAAAGGCTGTAGCAGAGGTGCAGCATCTGCTAGGGAGGTGGGGGAGGCGGGGACGGCTCCAGTGGGGAAGAGCAGACCCAGGCACGCAAACAGGGGAGCTGGGGTGGTAATCACTTTCCTGCTTGACTCTCTCTGTCTACACTGAGCTTCTCCAGCATAGGCTGCATGCTTTGCATCTCTGGCATTTTACAAAGTGCAAAGACTAAGCTTTCTATAAAGCTGAACGGATAAATGGATGAATGAATGGGGAGCAGAATCTTATGAGCTGCTGGAGTGATGGAGAAAAGAAAAAGTGGCAAACTGGGGGAGTCTAGGCAGAGAAGGCTCGGGAGTGAGTACAAGATAATGAAACAAGATTCTTCTTTGTTTGTTAGAAGCAGATTGGAAAAGAAGGATGTAGAAGGAAGTAATAGCAGTGATATGTTCTGGGAATTTAGGTTTTGCCTTCAATCCACTCTGCCAAGATGCAAGTCCAATTCTGAGATACAGACAATTTATCCTTGGGACCTTCTAGAGATCCTGTTATGAGAGGTATGAGGGGGTATACTCCCCAGAAGATGCCTTCAGACTACCCAGAATAGATGTCTTGTGTTTAAATATTTACTTGCATCATTCAACCTTTTTTTTTTTTTTTTTGGTTAAGCAGAACGGGAATTAGCCGTCTAACCCTTACAGGTGTTCCTCTGGCTCTACTTGGCCTACGGAGTTTCAGTGCATGCAGGACCACTTTAGGGCTAGGAAGCAGTGGTAGAGTGAAGTTAGACAAAATAAAGAAGCAAAAAAGCCTTCACAATGTGATAGATGGTCTAAAATCAGCCATAAGTTAGCAAGAA